GGCTCAATCCTCATCGACGTGTCGCAGAGTTGTAAAGACTGACGAAACTGGCATGAGGAAAAATAGAGGTTGTACAAGAAGCGGCTTGTCTTCTTCAACAGCACTGTGAAGATGTAATTCTGCAATATCACGCTCACAGTGCATAAAAGAAAGCCATTTATGGGTTTTTCACGCAAAATTCAAATCGCGGGAAAAGCTAATTACTCAGGCTGCTTAGAGTAATCCAAAATTTTTCTGCACTAAAAGTTGACTCCTACTTACTGTGGTAACTACGTAGTGACCCACTTATGCCTTCTTTCTCCTCACAATGCCACATGCTAGATGGACGAGGGATAGGCCAAGGGCACCAAGGCAAGACGAATAGGCGAATATAGAACATTAGGCATCATCACCCATCTCAATTCGGATCACGGAGTCTTCCCATTTCAGAGAGGCGATGCTGCTACTCTAGAGAACACTAAGATGACTGGCTCTGGTGATGGATGGATGATTGGTTTACGTTGTTGTGCGTTGGATATATGTATATGTATATAATGCAGGAAGATCGATCCTCCAGCAGAAAATCAGAAAATGTTTCAATGCTGGAACAGGTCTGCACAGTCGCAACGTCTTTTCTCCATAGCGTCCGTTCGATTTACAACGTTAGAGAAGTTTCGCTAGAAAACACCAATTACTAAAGTCTAACAGCGTCAACTTTCTTTTCTTAATCTCTACATCTACAGAGGTCGTCTCTAGTCAGAAACGAATGAACTTTTCCCATGTTCCCTGACTTTTAACCCTCATTTACGCTACAGTAATATGTTCAACCTTCATTCTTATTCCTTCGTTGCAGCAGCTGACACTCTGCCGTACACTAATCTAACAGAGGCAAGGTACAGACTGGTTTCGCGGGACGAGTTACTTGTTCCTGAGCCAAAATATTGGGGCTCTCATGTTATTTAACAACGACCGGATGATGCACCGTCGGTGATGGAGTCAAAATATTTAAAATAAATGACCTCCTTTTGCCCATATACGTTGCTCATAACTTCTAATTTCTGGGCAAGAAAGAAAGTGCCAGTTCTCACCGCTTTGTTGCACGGATACGGCAGCCATGAGGTGAGGAAACCCGTTCCCGTATTATTCACAATAATATTGTTCTCTGCACATTTCGAGTCAGCAGGGTGTCTGACGAAATATTTTGACGTGAGCCTTGCCTCTAGAATGATGCCCTGGGTTTGTCAATCCCAACGTTGCTTCAGAGAAGAAAGTAAAGAATAGCATTAAATGGAGAAATGAAAATTCCTGGAAAGATATTAGTGGGTCGAAATGAATTTTCTTTCGTACTTGACACGAGCGAAGCATCTGAACTGCCTCTTCGCAGCGTTGGATAACCTCGTTCTGTAGAGAAACCATCGTATGATCAAATAATCAGAGTCTGTAACGATCTCTGAAATATTCATATCTTCGTTCATGTGAGCCAAAGAACCACTGATTCTTGACGAGAATTCGACGATCTTCAAGCTGCTGCAGTCCAGTTTCAACTTTATATCCTATGAAAAAAATTAACATAAATTTAATGTCAGCATCAGGAAGTTCATTACAACGATTAGGAGGATATCTGGCAAAAGATGACCGTTAAACAACGTGGTATTGAAAAGAACAAAAACTTGCCAAGAAAACTGTTAGATTCGACATTTAAGATCGATTAAAAGTCAATTGCTAAACTGGCGAAGTCAATCACTCACTTCTTGGACGCAATAAAACTCAGATCGCCAATCCACCTGCCAATCATGAGTAGAAAATGAATTCCAGTGCATAGGCAGATAGACAATTTATTCAGTATCAAATATTCATAAATCCAACTTCTTGATGGGCTGACAACCGCTAAACGTACATGACAAATGCCGAAACAGAGTACGGTTGACTACCTCGTTCTTGAAAAGCGTGGAACCCGCCTGAACTCATATGTGAGAACAGAAACTTCAAGAATCTGGGATTTCCTCGGAGGTCGGTAGAAGCTAAAAGTATAATGGGCAAGGCACGTTATAAGAATAGTCTACCATCGTTGAATCAAAGCAATATTACATTCGGTTTCATTTGAAGACTTCCAGGTCAAATACACGATGCACTGAAAGAGTCGGAGATGTTAGTTGGGTCAAGATGAAGAGGAAAAGCATTGAAGAGAAATTTTGGCATAGTTTTAGGGTGGCCTTCACCCGGCAGTGGTTCGAATTTGGCTGATTAATAATATATTGATCAAAAACGTTATTTTAACCACTCCTCAACAGCACTCTTTATGATGACAAGAGGCAAATGATATTTAATGACGGTTTTAGTGCAAATTAAGAAGATACTTTCATCCACCTATCTAAGTATGTACCCAAAGTCTCATTCCCTTACACCAACTTTCTATGAATGACGTCTTTCTTCTTGTCGTAGGACATCATCATCTAATAGGAGTTTAGGATACATCCCATAGGCAAGGAATTACACATTCTGTCATGCATCAAGCCTACTTTTCATTGCTCACTCGAAAAGCAATGGATGCTCAGAACAAGGTAGTAGTACGTGATCGCAAGAAGTAAAGTTTCATGTTGTGGTCTGCACTACATTTGACCCGTATGTGAGATGATGGCTCTTGCAGGCCTTCATGCATAATCTGCTGTATCAGTGGCTAAACAAATTTAAACAGTTGTAATGGTAGACGAGGCGAACTCTTTCACGAAATGTAAAGCGTGCATTCGTCCGCCGATCGGTTCACTCACCCCATCATATTCCAGGTCCTCCTGTTCCCCGAGATTGACAGCGTTGAGGATGACGTCCAACGGACTGAACGCTCCAGCGGGGTACTGAGTCTGCGCTGTCTGAGAAAATCCTCCTTTGAACAACTTCAAGAGTTGATTCAAGGCATCGACGATGGACAGTTTCTGCCACCTGCCGTCCGTGTCCTGCAGGTCGATCACAGCTTCCTCGTCCAGAAGACGGCACATCTCCTTGTAGCAGTGGTGCATCGCTCGGCGGTCTCCAGGTGAGGTGGTAGTAGTGTGGTCGAGGTCGTCGTCGTCGGTGGCGGAGACGGAGGCGGCGGCAGTGGGACTAAAGCTCGTAAAATGAAGCTTCGCATGCGCTTGTGTGCCGTGGTAGGCGGTGTTACCCCTCGACGATGACGTTGCTGAGTTCGGCGGCGCCGACTGCCGTGGAGTAGTGGCTCCTGGCACTGGTCGAGGAGGCGGTGATCAGCAACTCCGGTGAGCCATGTCTGAACCGGTCGTGGCCGACGTCCCCGTCGTCCTTGCTGTCCTCGAAGACGACCGCCTTCTGGTCCAGAGTCGATCGGCGTGCGGCCACGTCCCAACGAACAGCTGTCGCAGTGAAGATGCAATCGGCTAGCAAGAGGCGGACCGGCAGAAACGAATCAGCCGAAAAATCAAAGGACTTTTCACCCCACAGCTCGTGCCAGTCAGCACGGAGAGGCTGCAGCTGCAGTGAATGTAGGTGACGATGAGGAAGGTGTGATGTGACATCAGATGGCGACGAAAAGTTCGCAAAAAGGTCACACACCGACCGCCGACCGATCTGGGTCACTACCTTCCAATGACTTTCCG